CTTTCCCTTCACAGATTGGTTCCATTGTGGGAGCGATCCTCATCGTGCTCATTGCTGTTATTGGGGGAATACTCTACAAAGGCTCCTGGATTATCTCACCCAAATTATGGATCATTGGCACCATATTTCCAGCAGCTGGCTATTCTCTAGGATTCTTTCTGGCCCGCGTAGCTGGTCTGTCTTGGCACAGGTATAGAATCCTCTGTGACAAAGACCTGTAACTTTTTTTCAGCTGTGAAAAAAGTTTTTATTTAATGATTAATCAATACTGACAATTCTCCCTAAACATTAGCTACGCTATAGAGTCACTCATTCCCCCATCCTGTAGTTTTATCTACACCTATACTATGTGTAGATAAAACTTTTCTTGTACATAGGATATTTCCTCCAATCTTTGACGTGTCTTCCCCTTGTGTGCCCACATTCTACACTTCAGATGAGGGAAATGGACCTGACTTATAAGTGCATTGGGACAGCAGCAAAATTTCTCATAAAGATGCAGCAGCCTCCAATGTAGAACATCATTACAAGAGAGGGAGATCATGAGTGTCACCTACGTGGCTTGAAGGTGGATCACAGTCCTTTACAATTGCTGAACTGCCATAAATTGTGTGTGTTCTAGTGGTAACAACCATATGACTTGCAGAGTGTTTTTTGACTATGTGAGCTGAAGAATACTATTTTCTTAGTTATCCGTTACTGTATGTTTCTTGCTTATACAGATTACTAAAAAGCGTAAGGACCCACAGGCTGCTATTTCACAATTGTCTTTGTATTATTCCCTTTAGATGTCGTACAGTGTCTCTGGAAACAGGCATGCAAAACACTCAGCTATGTTCAACTATAGTACAGCTCTCATTCACTCCTGAACAACTCGAGCTGATGTTTACTTTCCCGGTCGTCTACAGTATTTTCCAGCTGCTGTTTGCACTACTAATTTTAGGAGGTAAAGTATAGATATTTTCCCTTTTAGTATTATTATTGTTAGTCTCATTATTAATGGATACGGAGAAAAGAAGAAGGAATAAAAATGATCAAATGGAAAATAGTTAAAAAAATAATGACCCAGGTGATTACTGAGCATCACCACTGTGCTGTGCTCTGTACATAACTAGGAATCTATAAGGCTCATTTCAAGATTTGGAAGACCTCTTTTTTTTCAACACAAGGGAGAGGATCTCCACCACCTACAACCAGGCACATGAGAATACCTTGAGCATGGGAGTGTTATTACCCTTGGTTGAGGAAGAGCAAATGTGTCTTCTTCCACCACTCCAGGGTTCCTGGGGGTACAGCTGCACAGCAGGGCTACCCCCACAAGCGTGCACAAACTCCCCTTCCTATCAACTCTTGAGAGTTTAGGCATCAGCTTCATGGCTAATGTGAGAAAATAACTTCTAGAAGACGTAAAGGTCCCTTTTTCCTGCCACATACACCTGTCATGGGTTGCATTGCTGCTACTGCAACTAACGCACTGACTTTGTCCCTGTTGCGCACCCCTAAAAACCAGCTGTGACTATTGAGCTCCCACTCCCAAACCAGCCATTGTACCTGACACCAGAGCACTGCCCCAGGCACACAGCCTGCGAGGAGCATCCCTGAGTCCAACCTCTCTGGCAGGCGACAGCATGGGGACAGACAAACCAATTTGTCCCAGCTCCTGCCAAACAGGACTCATGTAGAAGTAAGGGTCAGTCCCACAGACACAGCCAAGAACCCAAAGGCTTCCCAAGGGAGACAGGAAATACTTTTAAAAGTCACTACACACTCCAGGAACACAAAGCAGTCAAAAAACAAATGCAGATTTTAAAATATTTTCTCTGTTATTTTCTAAACATACTTTTCCAGTGATGAGTGATGTTGATGTAAAATAATTAAATAAATATTTACAGAAACTGTCTGGAGGTGTTGGAATGTTTTAGCAATATAAGGAAGGAAAATGTTGCCTAGCTACATGCTAATGCAGTGTCTTTTTCAGGCAATTATTATAATTTCTTTATTTAATACTAAATATGTACCGATTCCCAGGCTACCGTCTTTACAGAAGACACCGGGTCAAAACAAAGACAGATGTTGAGAAAACAGAGGAAAAAGAAGATTCAAAATCAACGTCATCACATGCTAAAATAAATGGAGGATTTGTGTCAAATGAGACCAAATAGACAATTACCTCTGTTCCCACCAGCTGAAAAGATATGGTACACCATTTACTTAAAACTTTTTTCTCACATGCCATTGCTTTATGGAAATATTTAACAAAAGGAGAAGTTCTGCTGATATTGTACAGTAAGACTTTAAAATTATTAGCTTATGAAAGATTTCTACTTTGATTTTAAACACTGTTTCTGCCACAATTGTAGAATTTGGTTTTGAAGGTAATTCTCTAAAAATAGTCAATATTTTATTATGGCTTATTTTAAAAAAGGTAGAATAAAGGAGGGCTATTGCTAAAAAAACAAGCAGACATTTGCATTGCCAGCTCCAGCCTATGATCCTGCAAATCCATCTGCTAGTGTCAGCCCCCACACCAAAGAAAGAGAAACCTTGTCAAAGTGCCTGTGCAGCAACAGGAGTTGATGTGGAAGATCGGATAAGGCTGGAGGACTTTCACTGAACATGAGTCAACCATGAAATTGGAACAAGCTAATAATGAAATAAAGTTTCATTTAGGTCAGCTTGGGCAGACTAAAGTCATTGCACTGTACTAATTGTTTGAAGCACTAATTTATTCTAAAGCTGTAATTTCAACAAGTGCAAGGTACCTTATGACTATTTTTTTGCCCAAAGTAATTGAAAGTAACAGCTTTGCATCTTCAGTCTGAGCCTTTTATGTGCTGGAAACACAAATAGAGAAACAAAGCTGAGAGTGTAGGCCTAGTACAATTTTAGTGCGACGGCTGCATACAAAGAAGCAGGCAGAGATTTTGGAAGTGTAAGAAATTATCAACTTCTGCACTGAAAGGGAGGCATTTGAAAGTGGAACGAAATTGTCCCTGATTCATCCAGGACTACCTTCACTACTGTTAACGTGAGACAATAGTGCTTGTAGAGAGTGATATACTTTCGTTATTTTATGAACTCTATGTATTTGAACTTAGTAGGTGTCTGTGACACGTAGACACTGCTGTTGTTGACAACTTTAAGATTTTAGTTATATGAACCACAGACAGAAATAATTGGATGTAAACATACATTATTTGTTTCTGAAAATTCAAGAGTGCATATGGAAATTTGTCCTAAGTGTGTGGAGAAAACTAGTATAATTCTAAGAGAAACAGTGCAGTAAATTTTTTGCAGCTGTAATTTTTTATGGATACATTCCTCAATGTGGATACATTAGTCCTGTAGCTCTTATGTAAAGAAAACATCCAGAGAACTTCAGATGAAATGAGTGAGAGGTTGGCTGACCAAAAAATTCAAGAATGAGCCAACTGTCAACACATGGAAACTATACACCTCTTTGTCATATTCAAGTGGACCTTCCGAGGTGGTGTGAGTTAACGTGGCAGGTTTTTTACAAACACAAGTGAAACTGTGGAATTCAAGTTCCAGATATGTAGCTTTCCACTGCTGCATAAATGTGCCCAGTATTAAACAAAGAATAAATTATTTTTATCTACCATACATGGGGGAAAGTGTCTTGAAATGTTCCTGAGTTCTGGGAGGCTTGAAGTTGCTTCGCTTTTGGGGGGAGTTCAGAATGGTCAAAACCTCCAAGGAGGAGTTTAACACTTAGCAGGAGTTAGCACATAACAAGGCATGCTATGTTTTACAGAACAAAGACTAAAGAGAAAAATGTAGTGGTCTGTTATGGAGGAATCATAAATGTGAAACAGCACATTCATCGAGAAAAGGATAAGCTGCTATTTGTAACATCTGTAGTAAAAAGACTATTGCCTTTATCCTGTGTCCACCAAAAAAATGGCAGCAGAAGTTAGTTAGGATCATGTCTGTCTTACACAGCAAGCTGCTACTCCTTCCCCCTGCTAAACTTCAATGCTTCCATGCATATTTTAAGCAGATTTTGAAGATGTATTGAAGAATAATAGTTTGTCTTGGTTATACTATGTGTGTGTGTGTGTATTTAAAGCAACTGTATAAACACTGAACTGAATAAAGTCAGAAACTATTTATAATTTTGCCCACTGGAGTAATTTAAAGTGGAAAGAATTGAGACTGAAACTTAACATGCAGACGAAGTTGATGGCTTTGAGATGTAACAAAAACACGTTAAATTAGGTGTAAAATAAATATGTTTAATAACGATGAACATTAAGTGAACATGGGATGTCTGATGCCACATTTGATATACAGTTTTTAATGTATATGTGCATGTGCGCTTAGGGCCCCAGATAAAGGATGGAGGCTACAGTTTTTGCAGCCATTACAATTACATCTAGCAAGGGTCATATGTCCCAAGCTTTACCTGAAGCAAAGCCAGCTCAAAGGTCTTAACCAACATATACCTCTAGAGCACATCAAACCTAAAACAAAACCCCAGGCCTTGTTAAAGTTGCCAGAAGAAGGCTTATGTTGATGTGACAGCTGCTAAATCTCCAGCTGTAGGAGTCTGGGCAGTATCAATGCCCATCCATCACTGTTGAAGCTGGGGTGGGCTATCTCACAGCAGCATAAAGGACTTTTGAGGGAGCTATGTCTTCGGCAGGGAGATGTTACGGTCTTTGGCTGCCAGCCATATAAATGCTGAGATACGGGCTTCTCAGTTGAAGGAGGCTGGTGACCTCCAGCCTTGCAGTCGCAGTTGTCTTGGTATTGTCAAAAGAAAAATGCCAGCTTGCTGAGACCAGCTTAACCTGCTCAGCATCATCTCCTTTCACATTCTCAAGCATGAAAATCCTTTCAAAGAAAGGCAGCATCACTTAGTCACCAGTGTTTTTTAAGCAACCTTCTACCCATTGAAACAACCTGTGGATGGGACATTGCAGGATGTGCAATTTAAAAGCATCACACGGTGATGTTCAGGCTAACAGATGCCAAATCTAATTAATTCTTACACAAATTGGTAATCATGGATTTACCAGTTAAAGTTGAGAAGTCATACAGATGCCTTAGCAGGTTCTAAGTTAACACAGCTGGTCTACTTTTTAGATAGTCATTCTTGTCCAGAGAGCATGGGGAGTCCTTGAGTCTTAACTCTGCTGCACTGCTGGCGCTCAAGCCATTTCTGGAAAAATGAGCTGAAGTATGTCTAAGGATAGACATTCCCTAAAAGTTGAAACGACAGCTGAACTAATGCCTCACTCATCCTAAGGTCTGTAGCATAAGGGCTGCAAGGATGCGACAATCACGTTTGCCGAACCGAAGTCTGTAGCCATAAATCTGGGTATCAGGACATGTTCTCAGCAAAGTGAGAGAAGCACCACCACAGAGTTAATCACACCCTTTGTCTCAGGCTCCTGTTACAGGACAAAGTGTCCTCTGGAATTCTCTGTCTCTATAAGGTAGATATAGGTGGCCTCACTTAGACCAAATACCTATTTTTTTTTTGATTCCTAGATGGGGGCAGGGGAGTTGAAGTGAAATACCTCTTTTTGTCGTCATTTCTTTTTCTGCATAAAGTCTCTGAGCACTCAGTCTGTTTCCTTTAACCAGGAAAATAGGTCTTTATAATTGAAAAAAAAAAAAAGAAAATCTTGTCACAGTAATGTCTGTATAGTGATTTTAATCTCTTAAAAACATATAACTAATATCTCAGCTGACCAAAAGACACATAGAAGAACTGGTTCTGCCATATAGCGTGCTGTCTTAGTCAGAAGAGAGTGCAATTTGAATAGAATTAACAAGCAAATTAATTTGCAGTTTATATTAAATGAGTTTCTTGTTTCAGACTAATCAAATTCTGAAGATTAAAAAACACTGTTATAATCTCTGCCAACCAGTATTATTTTTGTCAGCCTCAGAAAGGAGAAATTAACTTATTTTTTTGTGGTCCAACCAATTAATATACTGTACACTTGATGAAAATCTAAAATAATAATCAGTATTCCCTATCTCCCAAGGCACAGACCTTCACTGTTCTATATTTGACGAGAATGTTCCTGCTCTCCCCAGATTAACTGTATTGCTTGCTCATGTCTAGAATTAAAGCAAATATAGTGTAACAGTACCACAACCACATGGCAACAAAGCCAAGCCTGACTGTATTTTCCAAGCCAGAACTGAAGAGCAGTAGAAGTAAATGTCTGGTTCTCTTTCCTAAGGAATATTCATTCTGCTCCAGAAACATTAACATCCCAGTTAAGCTGAGTGCTAAATTAACTTGAAATATCAGCTGTAAAAATAACTGTTACTTGCAAGGATATTTGCCAACCTTCAAACTGGAATCACAGAAGATGGATAATTGAAAGCCCTGAAGGAGTCCTAAGATGTTTTTATGAATAGATATGCACTGTGGAATTATATTACTATCTCCATTTAACTTCCATTAAATTTAGCCATCTACAAGTAAGTTTCCAGCATCGACCTTCATCCTTCCTCAAAAACAAACATTCAGTACTGCCAGTAGGAAAAGATAGGTCTCTCTGGAGAGCAAGCCATCACACCCCTCAGACACCTGGTTTAGGGCGGGAGGAGTTCTGGAAGGAGACGAAGAGATTACGCAGAATCTGGTGTGAAAACCGGTTGCCTAAACATAGGCACGTATCTGATGTGAGGCACCTTGGGGTGTCCTGCCTGGCTTTCAGCTGCCAGTTCAGAAAGTCACAAGCCTTCTGTAGGTCCTGTGTCCTGCCTGCACCAACCACGGCCATACAGACACTTGATTAGGAAGCTGAATCCTCCTTGTGACTCCTTTGCAAATCATCCTTATTTGCAGGGTTTCCCCTGATCTATACAAATGCCTCCAGAGTCAGATGAAGGGTCAGAACTTTGCATGGGATAATTGCACACCCTTAAGAAGACCATTGCAGCTTTCGTCCCATGAGGCACCTCTCACAAAGCACGGAAGTTTGTTTAACTGCTAACCCAAATACTTCAGAATTAAAAAAAAAAAAAAAAAGTGTTACTTCCAGCTGCTTCTTGGAACTGACCAAAGGCATGCCTCAATAAATTTCTCCCAGCTCTGCATCTTTCCACAGGATTAGATGAGTCTTTGAAAGGGCTAGGAATAAAATTCAGTGAGGAAATTCCAAACTATGTCTAC